CCTCTGACTTTGTTAGTAATAAATTCACTTCATAATTTAAGTAGAGCCTGTTTTGTCCATCAAGCGTTTCCTCCCTGCTCCTTATCTCCACTCATGAACCCTTTTGTTAATTTTTTTTTCTTTGCTTTTCTCTACCCAGTGGTGGTGGGGGAGAGCGCATGAGCAGGTGTTGTGGGTGCCTGGCTTTTGGCCAGCATTCTAAACCACGACAGCAGGCCGTGATGAGGCAGGTCCACCCAGCAGCCCACAGAGGACCTCATGAAAACTGGACATGGCTTTGAGGAAGCTGCAGCCCATGGAGAGCCCTCACAGGAGCAGGGTCCCTGCAGGAACTTCAGCTATGCAAGAAAAGRAGCAGAACGTGAGGAGGAWGGAGCAGCAGGGATGGAGAAYTACAAACTGACCCCAGCCCCCTTACCCATTGCTCTGTAAAACTTGCAGAGAAAGGAGGTAGGATAGCATGAAGCTGAGACTAGGCAGAAGGGGAGAATGGGGAGAAGGTGGTTTCAGTTTTGGTTTTGTGTCTCTTATCCTACTCTGTTTTTCATTGGAAATCAATTAAATTTATCTTACCCAGTTCCTGTCTTTTGCCCATGATGGTAGCTAGTGAGTGATCTCCCTGTCTTTATATCAAAGCTGGTTTGTGGTATTTTCTCCCCACAGTGCTGAGAAGGGGAGGTGAGAGTGTGGCTGAGTGGGCACCTGGCAGCCAGCCACAACCCAACACAATGCATGTCTGGAATTGCTGCGTCCTCCTCACCACTTCCTTTTCCCCTTCAGATGTGTAAAGGGGAGAAAAAATAACCCTCCTAATCCCCCCATCATCTTAATAACAAAATGTTCTCTATATTTTTCTTGAGATCTCTGTTTCTGGGGAGCAAAACTARTATGTTCTACAGTCCTGCTACAGTAATTTCCTCTTGTAAGCAAACATCCTGCTGTCTCACYTCTTGGCTTTTGTTAGGAAAGTACATGTAATGCTTGCTGTCTGACTTTCATTTGGCTGAGAATCTCTCTCTATCCCCTCTGGGTCTCTCAGTGATATCCATCAGCACTGGAAAACGAAACTGG